AGCGTGTGCGGCGCTCGCCCGCCGGCGGCGGCGGCGGCGGCGGCGCGCCGTGTGGGAAGCGGCCCTGAGCTGGTCCCGGCGCTGGGAGGGCGGCCGCCGCCCGGCCCGCTCGCGCGGCCCAGGCCAGCCCTCATCACGGCACGGGTGAAGGTCTGCCGAGGCGCACGCGCGCGCCGCTGAGCCGCCGCTGAGAACCGGGCCGCCCTGCTGTGGCCGCCGGCATCCGAGACGACTCGGAGCGCGTGCGCTGGTCACAGGTCAGGCCGATTAAAAGTCGCATCAGTCATGCGCTCATGTCAAGGTGTCGGCCACGCTGCATGCGCCGGGCCTATTCTGCACCATTAGCGGCATTCGAAGTCAGATAGTTGTCGTCTCTGTGAGCACTTGTATGCCCTGTTTACGAACACAAGTATTTAATCTTATAGCACTATCTAGTGCCATTCTCTGCCCTGGTCACACGTTGTGGGCTATACAGCACATGCATAATCGGGTTTTTAACCAGATGAGCTCAGGTCGAATTTCATTCCTTGATGGTCACTGTTCGTCGCCACACAAAAAAGATCTCCAAACCGTCACTTTGTAGCGCATTATCTGAAGTTGCAGACCCTAGTCACATGTACTGGCGATCCAAGATTATCTTAAAAACGACTCTAGACAGTAAAAAGATGTCAAAATGATCTTTATGCCTTTTTATGTGCTTTTTCCTGTGACCAGGTCTCCGTAAAACCAAAATGTCACCTCAGTCACCAGCGTAGCCGGGACTGAACTGACCCCTCCCTTTGGAATGTAATGTTAAATCCTTGGCCCTTTTTAAATCCCACGGCTGTTTGGGGTCTCATGGCCATCTTAAGACACTGTGACACAAAGAAACAAATCCCAAGAGTACTCTGTTTCTATTTTCTATGCGTCCAGGACCTCACAACTTGATAACGGAGTTCGGGCCGTACATCAGCGTTCGCCCCCAGCGTGTCTTGGGTTTGGCTCCGTTATGACCGCTGATAGCATTGCATTAGGTGCGTAAAAAGCAAAGTGATGTGCTGCATAACGAAATGTAATGAATACCGTCCGTCGTCTTTCTTCTTTTCCAAGACAGGCACATCTTATTCGTAACTTGAACCAAAACCAATTCGGGCTGTGTCGCTGGTCTCGTCCTCAAAGCAACCAGTATCATCGTATTTATATAGGATATATTCGCTTGTGCTCATATCCACGAGCAGTAGTGGGAATGGTCTCCAAGCAACAAAACATGCACAAGCAACCTTCATATGGCGGCACCGGTGCCCAGCGGTGCGAGACGGCTTGCGCTTTCCTGCCGCGTGTCGGACCACGACTTAATCAGAACTGCATGGAGCCCCGCCGCTGAGGTGAAAGGAGATGGTCTCGCAGCCGTGATAACGCTAAAGACCCGCTCTTCCCGTGATTGCCCGCTCGGTTCAGTGCGGGCAGACGGGACGCACACGACGAGCCTGCCCGGTCGAATCAAACTGCGCCAGCCGGCGCCGGCCGTGGAGTAATTGCTGCCGATCCGCCCGCCAGACGGCTGGCCGCTGCGCCCAGTCAACAGAGCCCCGGCATTCCGGTCCTGCCCGTGATATACTGACGGGGTCTGGCACAAGGGGAGAAAGGGACGCGGCCCCCGGCGCGGCGCCAACGCAAACAACTCGCGCGCGCAGCAAAAATGATGCGCCGAAAGACAAAGGAAACGCCAGACGATTAATCACAGACGGACGCGACGTGGCACTCTGGTATCAGCGATGCCCGCTTCGAAGGTCACGCGGCTGAGAGAGGGTAGACTGAAGGCTCGCGGGCCTGAGCGCGGGACGGCGCTTGAGCCGTGTCGTGGTCACCGCGCACGCCGCCCCTCCTCGTGTAAAACAATGCCCAGAGACGCACCCGTGCTTTTCACGCGTCACCTGCCGCGCCCGCGAGCCGCGGCAGGAGCGACTCAGAGCGACACGTGATGAGCTAACGGTGCGTCGCGCGCGCCGGGCCACCTCGCGCCACTGACGGGGCACGGACGGACCCGGGTCACCGGACCACCGTCACCGTCACGAGCCAGTGGAGGGGCGTCCCGGACCCTGGTCCCGGCTCGGCCGCGCCGGGTCCGTATTCAGACCCTCGGGTTAAGTAGTACGGCAATACTCGTAGGTCGCGCCTCACTGGCCGAGCGCGTTACCGTGCGACGGCCCCTATACCGGCACACAGGTGTGGCAGGTGACACGGACAAGGGGTACGCACGCGCTACAGGCCACACGGACGGGGCACACACACACACACACACATACACACACACACACACACACATACACACCCACACACCCACACACACACCCACCCACACACACACACACACACCGCACACACACACACACACACACACACACACACACACACACACACACACACACACACACACACACACACACACACACACACACACACACACACACACACACACACACACACACACACACACACACACACACACACACACACACACACACACACACAAGTGACGCAGATTACATGAACTCACGAGTTACGACTACAAGTGATGTGGACAGGGGGCGCACACGAGTGACACAGGTAAAATTATGTTTAGGGGAGCCCCACCAAGTCTCCCCGGTATTGAGTTGCTGATACCACTAAAAAGTCTTCACTTTGCTTCCTTGCTTCTTCAGGATTCGGGGAACAATCCCTCGATTTTGCAGACAAGTGCCAACCATAGAACGACACGGATATGTATTGCCACGGAGTCCTACTGTTTTGAGAAATTGACCGCCAGGTGGACATTGTCAATCTGCTTATTTTTCTTTGAAAGATAGATCATTCATGCATCCCAGGAACGATAAGGGCTTTTCAGAATGTCATATCACGCATCTCTGGAACGATAAGGTTATATTGTGTGCATGCCCATCCACGAGTTTGTTACGTTTTCCGCCGGCAGTTTGTTCAAGTTTTCTTGTGGGCAAAGATTCTTTCAGGGAAAGGTCGAACATATGTTTCCCTCTTCAAGATATTGTTATAGTTTCCTCTTAAATAGAACGGAGCATTATATGAGCTCGCACTTAAGTCATATGCTGGCTAAGTGCACCTTTTGCCCACTCAATTTCTTCCTCGCAGTTTTCTTCTTGCTCCGCGCCATCAGCGGCAAGTTTGAGACGGTCAGCATAAATCATCGCCTGCACACATCCGAATACTGATTTAATATTTACTACTTATAAAACAAAATGTACTCTGAAATACGCAAAACCGAAGGACAAAAATAATCTGCTGAATAACGACTCTCCTTCCATTCCCAATGCATGTATCTTCAGAATCAAATCCAATGACAAAGATTTACACCAAGCAGCGGAACTTCAGCTCCTGACATTACCAGAGTCCTCTCAACCACAGATCACAATCTAAAAGCGACAGTACAGCGTCAAAACATGGATGAATCAAGGTTTTCGTTTCGCCTCTGCACATTTTCACAAAGCACGATCCGCGCTTGCAACCGCAAACTCTTCTACAAATGTCTTTGCTGTTAATATCCGGAGCAGGAGGCTATTATCAGCCCACATTTTCTCCATATCACCTATATTATAGCTAACCAGTCACAGCAAACAACAGGCCAATCTATGCTTCGATTCAGAGGCCTATTTCACTTTGGTTTTGCCCTTGCTAGAGCCCCGTCATGAGTTCGTTACCTGAAATACTCGAGTACGTGGTCGTCAGGTCTTGATGGGCGCCATCCGATGCACTAAGTGCCATCATGTACGCCTGCCGTACGCAATGCTCCTGGCAAGCTGGCATGACGCCGGCCGCTGATTTGATCGAGACAACACTTAAAACACAACATTGCCGTCACGTGCATTTGCCGATCAATACTCGTGATGCCATGTCATGACGCTTGTAACTGATTTTATTAACGCTTTTCCCCAAACTATATCAAGCACAAAAAAATCATCATGATTAGTGAGCCGCGCTTACATGTCGGACTGGCTGGGCTATCTGAAGGTATATAACAGCAGGTGAGTTGGTATAAAGTGACATCCTTCGGCCAGTTAGCACATTACAATCATATTCGCAGACCACAGCATCCCCATATCTGGATGGACTATCGTCACCAAGGATGTCCCAAAGAATGTAGATCCGCGCAGTATAACAGGCATGTGAATCAAATGGTTTTCAAGACGCATTTTACGCTGAACGGAGCACCACGCTTAAAAAGGCCTGCGTTGCTCTGGCAGGCCATACCGCGGACTGTCTATAGCCCAGTAACACCGGGAGACTGCGTTCACGCACAAGGCTCAAACACCCATCGCTCTGCAGGTTAAATCGTGCCCTGGTTTTTCTAACGCTCCGCCACAATCCATGAGAGGAATGGTCGCCGCCCTGGTGGTTTGCGCTTCAGCGATGCCAGGAGCCGCCAGCCATATGTACAGCCTGTGAGTCTACCATCTAGCGCGGAGACATGGACGACCGTGAGGGCCGCCCTGTCCCCCGCTGCACGAGCAGGGCCCCGCGGCTGACCGGCGGCCACCGAGCCAGCTCGGCCGAGCCCGGGAGCGGCGCCGTCACCGCGCCGGTGATCAGGCGGTCACGAGGCGCGACCTGCGCCCGTTGCACCCGTCCGCACCGCTGCAGCGGCCGGCCGGGACCGCGAGGTCAACGCTCGGGACGGGTCGGCGGAGCAGGGCGGCGGCGGCGGCGGCGGCGGCATGCCACCCGAAGGTCGGCTCGCGCCCGGCCAGCATACTCGCCGTGAGGTGCCAAAGTGTCACGTGTTTGCAGTGCGTGATGTCAGTGGGGTGGGCTATTCGATAGATGAATGAGTTCAGCTTGCCAGCCCGGGTGAACGAGGTTGTGCGCCCAAGGGCTCCAGCAGCAGAACAAAGCATTATCGCAGAAGATTAATGACGTCTGTTGCATATCAACACACACCAAAGGCTGGCGCAAACTGCAACGGCGCCGACAGGCGGAGACGGCACCGCGCACCGAGCGTCTATTTCACTCACCGGAGATGAGAACCAGAAGACTGACGGCCACCAAACTCCGCCCGAGGCGTACCGCCCCTGTCGGGCTCCTGGATCTCCCGGTCATCGTCACTGCTATTCGTCAACTGTCCGCACGAGACCCACGCATAGCGCCCGGCCCGCCGCCCGCGCACCCCCGCAGACGAGCGCAGACCGCCGCCGCCGCCGGCCACCGTCGCAATGTGCGCCCGCCGCGGCGGTGACGTCACACGCCCGCCGCGGGCGGCAGCAGAGTCGCCGCGGGGCAGAGCGTCAGTTGAACGGCCGGCGCGGCGGCGTCAGTGGAGTCGGCACGCGTGGAGCGCGTTCGGAGCCGGCTGGCGGTGATCAGACATGCGGTCGCGGCGACCCGAGTTAATACACGTAATCAAGCTCCCAGCGTCTGTCTATAGTCTTCCCACGCGGTGTGGCACTGACAGATTATGGCTTCTCGCCTCTCGATTATAGTCACCAGTGCGTCACCGGCGAGTGGTGCGTGATGTGGTGGGATGCGGCTATGCCAAGAACTAGGATCCCATGTGGGTATATAGCAAACGGACACCTCAATATTACACCGAAAATTGGCCAGAAATACTTGAGACGTAAAGTTTAATTCGTGTACGATATACACACCTAGCGGCCAATATACCAGCAGGAGGTCCCTCGTCATGACGCACTTAAAGCACCGTTGAATGCGTCGTCATTTCCTGCCGCTCAAGCATTTATGTACTTCCTGCGTTTTAGCGTCACGCATCGCGACATAAGCCCGTCACACGCAACCCGTACGTACTGACGTGCGAATGGCAAGTGCTTGGAGGAGCTAAATATTTTTGGGCACCACGATCTTGAGATGATCTTTCAACAGACGTGGCTAGCTGCTTCATTCCCAGGTGATCGCAAACTTGGCCAACACGAATGCCCAACGATGCTTGTGTTCGTGGTCTGGGCGACGATGGTACCGGCGCCTGGGTAAGGCATACCGGTGTCCCGGAAGCTGGACACCGCCGGCTACTGCTGGGCTTCGCTGACTCCACCGCACCCTTTCCACAGCTCCGCTGTCCCCGCCACACACCGCTCCACAGCTCCGCTATCCCCGCCACACACCGCTCCACAGCTCCACTATCCCCGCCACACACCGCTCCACAGCTCCGCTATCCCCGCCACACACCGCTCCACAGCTCCGCTATCCCCGCCACACACCGCTCCACAGCTCCACTGTCCCCGCCACACACCGCTACACAGCTCCGCTATCCCCGCCACACACCGCTCCACAGCTCCGCTATCCCCGCCATACACCGCTCCACAATTTCGCTGTCCCCGCCGCATACCGCTCCACAGTTTCGCTGTCCCACCACACACAGCTTCACAATTTCGCTGTCCCCGCCGCATACCGCTCCACAGCTCCGCTGTCCCACCACACACCGCTTCACAATTTCGCTGTCCCCGCCACACACCGCTCCACAGCTCCGCTGGCCCCGCCACACACCGCTACATAGCTTCGCTGGAGAACATAAGACGCGGCAAAATTAGGCATCTTTGGACTTCCAGGCGACCGAGAACAGTGGCAAGCGAAAGTAAAAGGCCCACAAGTAAACAAAGATAAAACTTCAATGATTTAAAAGTTGTTATTAGGGAATTTAAGCTTCATTACGCTGTCCAGCAGCTCTACAACGTTTACGGGGGACCTATGGACCGATTTGCAAGGTCATTCTGATCGTTAAGCAGCCTTCCACTTTGCCCTCGATTTTTGGCATTTGCTCAGGGGGCCCTTAACTGTTGCTGGGGCCTTCCTGCTAGCGTGCCGGGGCGCTCTTGTCAATCAGAGGTCTTCCACGGATTCTTTCCATTCGCTGGGAAGGTATTCGCTTTCCATTCGCTCTGTACGCTATAGCTGAGGCCGCACATGTTAACCTGCCGGGGTATCCTCGGTTGCTCAGGCGCCCTTTACGTCGGTCCCGGTTAACCTACCGACACACTCGTGACGTGCTCATGGGTCCTCTACATTGGTCTCGGGTGCTACCATTTCTCTGTGACTTGCTTAGGGCCCTACACTCTTGTCGAGCTCCCATCTGTTGATCTCCTTGGGAACATCAGTCGCTCGGGGCACACCAAATGGGGTCTTGGGTGCTTTCTGTTTGAATGGAGGGACATACGCGCTTGTCGGGGGGGGGGGGGGGGGCGCTATTCACCTCCTCGGCGACACTGGAGTGTTCGGGGGCCCTGCACATTGGATCTTGGTGTTTTGAATTTAGGGCCCTGCGCTTCTATCGGGGCCATCTGATAATCTGCTCGGGTACACTTCATTTTTCTGGAGCTCTCCGCACTAGATTTTGGTAGTTCGTACTTGAATGGAGGGCCTTGTGCTCTTATCGGGGATCCTTCTGATAAGCTGCTCGAACACAGTGGATCTTTGGGGGACCTCTACATCGGGTCTTGGGTGCCTCCTCTTTGTATGGAAAGCCCTATGCTCTTGACAGGGCACTATCTGTTAACCTGCTTTGGCGCACTCGATCATTCGGAGCCCCTCTTTATCGTATCGGGGTATTTCATATTTCAACGGAAGGCCCTACACTCTTGTCGAGCCCCCCCCCCCCCCCCCCCCATCTGTCAACCTGTTCGGTCACACTCGATTGTTCGGGGACACCCACATTGTGTCTTGGGTGCTTCCTAATTGAATGGAGGACATTACGCACTTGACGAGGGTCCCTCTGTTCGCCCCCTCGGCTACGCTGGATTGCTCTATACATTACCTCCTGGTGTTTGAATTTAGAGCCCTATGCTCCTGTCGGGGGCTATCTGACAATCTGCTCGGGTGCACCCCATCTTTCGGGGGTCCTCCGCACTGAGTTTTTGGTGCCTCTTATTTGCATGAAGGGCCCTACGCTCTTGTCGAGCCCCTCCTGTTAAGCTGCTCGTGCACATTCAATAGTTCGGGGCCATTTACATTCAGTTTCGTGTGCTTCCTTTTTTAATGGAGGGCCCTACGCTCTTGACGGGACACTATTTGTTAACCTGCTCTGGCGCGCTCGGTCACTCCGGGGCCCTCCATGTTATCTTGAGTGCTTCTTATTTGAATGGATGACCCTATGTTCTTAGCGGATCCCATCCATTAAGCTGCTCGGGCCGGTGGAGGATACAGGGGGGGGGGGGGGGGAGAAGGAGCACCGGACCATGCCGAGGGGACCCATAGGCTTCGAATCGGCCGATAACCGGCTGAACGGACACAGTTTTCTTACAAGAAAAAAAAACAGCACAACAAAGTTGGATGTGTTTGGGTCTATAGACAACAAGACGGCTGCAAATGAAAGTAAATAGTTTATAAGCAAGCAATTCTAGATCTTTGCTGATTGAAAGTGTGGTGTTTGAGGAAAGTTGTGGGGCTCATTACGCTTTTCAGGGGCCTTACGCTGTTGCGCGGGCCATATATGTCCACTTGCCTGGTCAATGTGAGCGCCAAGGAGTCCTCCACGTTGCCCTTGATCTATCGACATTTTTTTTCTCCATTTTTCCGTAGATGATCTCATCGCTGCTGTTAGGACACTATTCTTAATATTCTGTAAATGTTTGCTTCCATGCCTGAGCACTCTTTATCGATCAGGGTCCCTCCACCGATTCTTCCCATTCTCCCGAAAGGCTCTATACGATTTTTCCGTGACCCCACATGTCAGGGTGCACTCACCTGCCCAGGAACCCTTCATATGAGTCTCGGGTTCCTTCTACTTGCTCGGAGGGCCTTGTGCTGTTGCTGGAGCTCATATAAGGTAAAGCACCGAGACGCCCGATGCTCAGGGACCCTCCGCTTTGATCGAGGACTCTTTCCATTTGATCTCATTTGTGCAGGACTCTTCACATTGCCATCGGGGCTCTTTCTGTTAACTTGCCCGGGCCTTTTTGTTCGCACAGGGGTATTAATACGCGCCCGGGTGGGCGGCTGGATACCCTTCGCTTGGGAAGGGGGGTCAATTTGACCCCTCCGAGCTCCCGGAAAACAAGAAGGCTAGAAACACCAAATTCACAGGGTGTGTTAAATTGCACGTGAACCCACTTAGGTTAAAGTTTGAGGTTCTTAGGTTGTGACCTTCGGGTCAAATAAGGTCAAACAAGGCCAAATCCTTGTCCTTGTCCGTCCCGGTGGCTCAGTTGGTTAGAGCGCCTGCCTTCCGATCCACCCACCCGTGGCTGGGTGGGTTTGAGTCGCTTTAGGGCGCTCGCTATTTGCCCTTGACAGGTATGGCCTGCGGCCGGTGGCAGCGGTCGCGCTAAAGGTCAGTTGACGTCAGAGGGCAGGACGGACCGTGCCGAGCATTGCGGCACGTTAAGCTTTCGCCACTAAATTCTGCCGTTGCCTGGGATTGCGCGATCGGATGGTGGGGGTCAGAGCTCACGCAACAAGCACTGCTTAGCGTGAGCGCTGATCCCAGAAATCCATCCATTCAAAAGGGTTCGGATCAAATTTATAAAAAAGCAAAGAAAAATTCCAGGCTGGTCTCCAAAGTGCTGCCAGAACCTAGATTCACCATTGCACAGTAACTTTTAGTTTCCGGCTGATTGTTTTTTTCGAAATATGAAGCGGGCTTTCATGTGCTTTAACACGTTATCCATGCTATGTCGTGGTTTTGAGTTGTAGCAAACCCTTTTACCTTCTGGTACGGCCATATCATGAATTTCATGGAAGTTCAACGCACGCACGTCTTTTGGCGTTAGCAGGATACATGGCGTGTGGCATGCAACCATAGCATGCAATGATGTGAGTTAAAATGCCTTTGTCCTATTTTCAGCGATGGCGCCAGTATTTCAGTCGGACGCAGTGCACCCCTGGTGACCGTTTGACCTGAACAAGAGCATGCACACATCAGACATTTGAATTCCAACTTTATGTGCGCACTAATGTGAAACTAACTTTGTGGATGAAACACATTTGAGGACAAATGTTCGTATATCCACATCATACACATGCAAACAACTTTAACGAAGATAGTTTTTCAGACAAGCTTCATCCTTGGCAAACAGTCGCAAACGAACCTATCTATGCGAACCTTTACCGTGCAGACAGTTCCGTGTTGAACTTTTTCAGATTTCTGTTTTGCCAAGCAAGGTTTTTACGCAAGAATCTTCTTACATTGCAAAACTGATACCGTGCG